AAAAAAAAAAAAAAAAAAAAAAAAAAAAAAAATTCAAGTACCAAATTAATAGTTTGTTTCATAAATATATTTAAAAAAAAGTTATTAATATTTTTCAATTTTTTAAGGATTTACCAACTATTCTTACACACTTTCTTAAAAATTTAAAAATACTCATATTAATAATATGAATTAAAAGTTACATTTAATACTTTTAGTTTATTTTTTAAAATAGCTTTTACTAACATCCATAGATTATCTCTTTTCTCGATTACTTCTCACTCAATCTACTTCAACTTAAATTTTAAATAAAAAAAGAAGAAATTCTTTCCTCTACGAGCATCTTCTGATAAATTTAAATACTTGAATAAATGATTCTTTTCGAAAGTTGAAGATTTTTTAACTAAAATATTGTCTGTTATTTAATTATTATTATTATTATTATTTTTTTTTTTGAAAGTTTAAGAATATTTTTAATCTAAAATAAACAATGAAAGAAGAATGTGATACGTGTGCGTGAAGACTGAAGTCAAAAAAAGACAAAGATTTCATGAGTTGAAATTATTTAGTCCCACATCGGAAAAATTCACGGAAAGGAGCAACGAAACTGCTATAAAACCGGGTCCATTTCTTGTCTTGGCCAAACAGCCTTCAAACTAGATCATGGGGACGGCTGCAAATTTTGAATGTTGACCAAGAGATTAGTCGGACTGTCGGCTAAGGCATTCTGCGGCACCTAACAGATAGTCACACTGCTCAGAAAGGTAAAGTATATTATCAATCTACTGGTATGAGATTTATGGTTTTTGGTGGGAAACATTTATATATGAGATCTTAGTAAATGCAATTGTGAAGATGAGTAGATCTTAGTAAACGCAATTGTGGAAAACATTTATATCTATATGAGATCTTAGTATTGCTACAAGTTTTNTGTGTTATCTAATTTCCTTCACTCAATTTTTTTTTTTTTTTTTTTTTTTTTTTTTTGAGATAAGGTTTCCCCTTATCAAATAAATTTTCGGTTGTTGCCTCGTGAAGGTGGCAAGAACACGTCTCATTGCATTTATTATTCAACTGTTGATGATTCCAAAGTTTGGATTGAAACAAATTTTTTATGTGAAAATTGTCAGTTCATGGTATAGAGAATTCTTCTTCAAATTCACTCACTGCCCAGAATCAATGGACGTTCACCTCACTGCATCTAATTCCATAGCTTGCTAAGAAACAAATTTTCCGAACAATTAAATCAATCAACTGCTTCAAAAAAAAATTCTATGAAATTTTCTGTTTCACAATCACCTAAGGAAAATCATGTCTACTCATTGAGAAGCGCCTGATGATCTGTAATTGTCATTTCAAAAGCCCTAAAATCCATTTAAGTCCAACCCATAGTTTAGGTTGGATACAAATTATCATGAGGTCAATGGTTTCAAGATAAAAGAACAAGTTCCTTCACAAGATAGGATGAGTTCAATATTCTTGGCATGCAACTTTAAGACATGACTGGGAAGTGTTTATGAAGCTAAATTTGAAAGGAAAATTAACAAAAGCTATAATTTAACTAATCATGATCAATTAAAAACAAGATAATTAGCAAGACTTTAGATGGCCTTCCAAGGTTTCCAAATACTCCTCCTTGCATCAATTCTTAAATAAAATGTGAACATAGCTTTGAGGTATTATACCCTAGTGGGACTCAATTGTTGCGGTGGAAGTGGAACAGAAATTAAACAAAGAGACAAAGATTTACCATAGTTTAGAGAGGAAAAAAAAAAAATTTTCCTACATCTGCAGGGTAGCAGATAATCTCAATAACCAGGTTTACAAAGTGTATATTAATCAAAGGGTTTACAAAGTGTCCATTCATTATTTACAAAATTGTACATCTTGTCTCCCAACAAAATTTCTCTCAAATGTCCCAGATAACTCTATATACAAACCAAATGATTCATATATCAAAATGAAAATAATAACCAAAAGGGTTACACAATGACATTTCAACTTAATACATCTAAACGATTTCATTGCCTTCAAGATTGACAACAATGATGAGTTCAAAAATCATCAACGGTCCCAACTAGGTGTCTTCTCTTTGCGAGATCTTTGGAGTTGGTACACTGATGATCCCAGCAGAAATGTTATATATACCCAACACGTCCTGATGCTCGGTTCAATCGGAGTTGTATTTGAGGTAAGGAGGGTCTTGGACTGCATATTTTATGTTTGAGGAAGTTATCTATTTATTAGAACTCTTCGATATATATGAAATTGGGCTTACTCTGAAGTACAAAATGATGAAATCGTTCTTATTTGACATTCTTGTATGATAACATGATGGAGAGGGAATACATAAGAAAGAAAAAATATAATATTAAAGGACAATCATATCATATTCTAGGCAGTAGTAAAGTATCTGCCATGACCGAATGAGTAATAGAGCCCCCAAATCAGCAGGAGCAAAGCAGAAGCCATGGAAGCCACAGAATACAAGGTATAAAAGGTAGCTAAGTTGGGTTTATGAGGAATCAAAAGAGCACCCAAAGCACCTAAGAAAGCAAAGGTAATGGACAAAACGAAGGCATCAAAGGCAGAGGAAGGATTGGATAAGCCATCGAAAATCAAACCAACCCCCCCTCCCTCAATTCTTCCAGATAATATCAACAAGATTGAGAGAGTGTTCAAAGACAAATACAAAATGGGCTTCAAAAGTATTGTCAACGGAGGGACGAAAGCATTTTGGTCTGATTTCATCATCTCCTTCATGTTCGTTACATTCAGAGAGGAAGAAGGAATATCTCAGCTCATTATAGCTACTTTGCACATCTTATAAGTAGGAGCGTTTAGGAAATTTCCTGGAAATTACGTTAGGGAACAACTTGCTCCCCAAGTCGTTTGAGAAATTTCCCTAAAGGGACTAAAGTGGGATGTGGGGCCAAAGGGCTATGATTGTCTTTTTTAAACCAATATATAGTTATATAGATAACTAAACTTTAAAAGCATTTCCACACCAATTGATCAAAATTTCCACAAAATCTACTTTCTTTTTTTCAAGAAAAAAACTTGCAGGAGAATCAGTGAAACTTCCCCCCCCTCTATATTCCAGAATTCTCCATGCAGCGTATATAAAAAGGGAACTCCCCGATTGAATGGAACTTAGGGAAACCACTTGAAGAACATTGACCAAATCCTTATTGTTTCCCCCCAATGGATTCAGCCACACAACAAGAAACCTCCCTGGATATGAGTAGTCTTACCAGGGAATGGGGATTAGCCACGCAATTAGAATTCCAGTCAATTACCATCAAAATGCATAGCCCTAGGCCTCAACCAGCCAACAGCCCTCAGAATCTTGGGAAGATAAACCTTGTTCTCGCTTTTCAGGCAATTTTACCTTTGTCCATCAGTGATCCCACTCGATCTTCTCCGCTTCCCACAGGTCTATTTGTTGCTGTTGTGTTGATCAGCTTTGCAGTTTCGTATGCTGGAGTTTTCCTTAAGAATGCATTCCCAAGATTTGCACTTCTCTTGGAAAAACTCGGTACTCTTTTTCTTGCAATTGGCGTCTGCATAATATCAGCAGGTCTACTAGTCCCTCAAAGCTACGCTTGGATCTGGTTGTTGGCAGGTGGCTGCTCCTGCTTGCTACCCTTTATCATCTCATTCATGTGATTTCGACAGAAGATGCACTAGAGTCCATGCCCGTGTGTGTGTGTGTGTGCGTGGTTTGTGTGTGTGTGCGTGGTTTGTGTGTGTGTTTAGTTTAACCTCTTTTACAGTCTCTTAGTCTACAACTTACAATGACGTGATAACTCTGCCTGTGTCATGCATCAAGCATCAATTCTTCTACGCAGCCGGTCCCAAGCCCGGAACAAAGGAGGAGGGTGGTGTCATCAGACCATTGGAACTTCAGCTTGTTCTGAAATTGTAGCTGTCAGTATTTTCATTTGAGTAGTAGTAATAAAGATGGCAGCTTCGCAATAGATGGGAGTAACCACATATTGCTGGAGCTTAGCCATCACCTAAGGTCTAGAGTCTTGTACTAGAAATGTGTGTTGAGTCGTGCAATTAATAGTAGAATGGGCATCTTTATGTTGTTTTATTTACATGAGTTCTACACAAACATACACACGAGAAGAACTACAACAATGACAAATGAACACCAGCCCAAAACAAGAAAGATTACATTAGAGAATCTCATTTCGTAAGATGGAAACCAAATTGAAACACCGAAAGTATCTTTCATAAGATGGAAACCAATAAAATAGCGAAGCAATCAGAGAACTTTGAAGACCAGAATGATATAAAGCTCCACATCAGTTTCAGATGACAAAGTTTTCATCATTTTGCCTTACTTCTCTTACAGCAAGCTCATCAACTCAATACAACAAGCAACATATATTGGCCTTGTAAGGAGGGTAAGAATCTAAGCCCACCACGCGCAGATATGATCAACTTTTTAGCCTCTTACAACGTAAAGATTGTAAGAATTCAGACCTCAAACCGAGGTCACGAGCCTACTGGGGAGAGGTTTCCATACTCACCCCAAAATGAGGTAACGAGCCTACTGGAGAGAGGTTTCCATACCCATCCCAAACCGAGGTAACGAGCCTACTGGGGAGAGGTTTCCATACCGACCCCAAACCGAGGTAACGAGCCTACTGGGGAGAGATTTCCATACCGACCCCAAATCGAGGTAATGAGCTTACTGGGGAGAGGTTTCCATACCCTCCCCAAACCTTGGTAACGAGCCTACTGGGGAGAGGTTTCCATACCCTCCCCAAACCTTGGTAACGAGCCTACTGGGGAGAGGTTTCCATACCCTCCCCAAACCTTGGTAACGAGCCTACTGGGGAGAGGTTTCCATACCCTCTCCAACCGTGGTAACGAGCCCACTGGAGAGAGATTTCCATACCCTCCCCAACCAGAGGTAACAAGCCTGCTGGGAGAGGTTTCCATTCCCTCCCAACTGAAGTTGAATCTCATGTAGATACAAAAATGATTTGTTTATTTCTCCAAAAAAATGCAAGATCTAGCAAACTATGCAAGATCTAGCATAGATACAAACAAAATCTGCATCAATTCAACCAAAATCATAATTTCCCAATAATTCAAATTCACGAGAGAACAACAACAAAATCTAACGAGCAGAAAACTTGGAAGGCATTGAATTCCGAAGATAGAACAGAACAGTACGAAAACTCAGATTCCGAAGAGAACCTAGTGATTGTTGATTGTTTCTTTGGCGAAACAGAGTTAAAGCTGGAGAAAATCTTCCCCAAAACCACAGCACCACAAGTACACCTTTCCCTTGATTTTCCTTGCAACCAAACTGGAAGAAGCTAAGGGGCTGTTTGGTTGGTGCATCAAATCATGCACGAAAACCAAAGCTGACAAACGAAATCAAAGCGTCGCTTACCAGATGATCGATTTGCAGAGCACAATCATCGAGAGAGGCCTACGGACGAAGTTGCAGCCTAGGTTGGGCTTATTCTGAACCCCCGAATTTGGGTTATTCTTAGGGTGAATATATAGCCGATTCCTCTTTTTGAAAAAAAAAAAAAAAAAAAAAAAAAAAAAAAAAAAA